GAGGCAGGAGACTCGCTTGAGCCGAGGAGTTGGAGGTTGCTGTGAGCTCTGATGCCACAGCACTCTACCCAGGGGAACAGCTTGAGGCTCTGTCTCAAAATAATAATAATAATAATATTTATTTAAGTAGTTCTGGAAGTCTTTTTACTTTCCTGGTGATTTGAAAAACTCCAGGGTTAAATGATCCCTTGAGATTGCTTACAGATCTATAAGTATTTGATAGCAATTTGTCTTTAGTGGGGTCTAGTAAGATTTTGGATCAAGATGGTTAAATGGGCCGGACGCCATGGCTCATGCCTGTAATTCCAGTACTCTGAGAGGTGGAGGCAGGTGTATCACCTGAGCTCATGTGTTCAAGACCAGCCTGAGCCAGAGAAAGACTTTGTCTCTAAAAAACATAGTGGGACATTGTGGCAGGCACCTATAGTCCCAGCTACCAGGGAGGCTGAGGCATAGAATTGCTTGAGCCCTAGAGCTTGAGGTTGCTGTGAGCTATGACTGTATGGCACTCTACCAAAAGTGAGAAAGTAAAACTCTGCCTCAAAAAAAAAAAAAGATGGTTAAAATGTGTAAGTGCCAAGTCTTCCCCCTACCTCTAATTTGTCATGATTAGAAGATGCTCTTAATAAGGCCCAAAGGGCTTGGCACCCATAGCTCACTAAGTAGGGTGCCAGCCACACACACTGAAGCAGGCAGACTCGAGCCCAGCCCGGGCCTGCTAAACAATACCCAAAGATAGCTGGGCATTGTAGTGGGTGCTGGTATTTGCAGCTACTCAGGAGGCTGAGTCAAGAGAATCACTTTAGCCCAAGAATTTGAGGTTGCTGTGAGCTGTGATGCCATGGCACTTTACCAAGGATGACATAGTGAGACTCCGACTCAAAAAATAGAGAGAGGGTGGCACCTGTAGCATAGTGGTTATGGCTCTGACCACATGCACCAAGGGTGGTGGGTTCAATCACAGCTTGGGCTAGCTAAACATTAATGAAAACTGCAACAAAGGCTCGGCGCCTATAGCTCAACC